TGCAAAATGAAAAGATCCTAGGAGACAGTGTAGTCACTGGTCGTTGTAAAATCAACGGTAGATTGGTCTATCTATTTAGGTTGGTGAAATTTTTAATCGTTCTCGTATTTAATACTTTCTCATTTTAGTATATCTTAGCTTCAATCCTTCCCTATTTTTTTACTCATTGTAGTCAGGATTTCACTGTGTTTGGCGGAAGCTTGAGCCTGGTGCATGCCCGCAAGATTTGCAAAGTGATGGAGCAAGCAATGATTGCGGGGGCACCAGTTATAGGGTTAAACGATTCTGGTGGTGCTCGTATTCAAGAGGGTGTGGCTTCCTTGGCTGGTTACGCTGACATATTTCAAAGGAATGTGGATGCCTCCGGCGTGGTTCCACAAATATCCCTTGTGATGGGTCCCTGTGCCGGAGGAGCTGTATACTCTCCCGCACTGACGGATTTCATCTTTATGGTTCAAGATACATCTTACCTTTTTATCACTGGCCCTGATGTGGTAAAATCTGTTACAAATGAGGATGTAACGCAGGTAAATATATTTTTTGCCTTTCCTTGTCGTCACATGTTCTCAAACTGTTTCTCCTAAGGAGGATCTTGGCGGTGGCAAAACTCATACAACTGTCTCGGGAGTCGCACACAGAGCATTTAAAAATGACGTTGAAGCTCTTATGGTTTTGCGCCAGTTCATGTCATTTTTGCCTTCCTCTAATCGAACAGGCAAGCCGCCCATCCGTGAATGTCATGATCCCGTGGATCGCTTAGTACCTTCCCTGGACACAGTTGTTCCTCTCGAGTCAACTTCCGCCTATGATATGTTTGATGTAATAAATGTAAGCTTTTCATTTTTACCCAGGTTCGTGCTTTTTGGACTTATTTTAATTGCCGTATCTACCCAGCTTGCTTTCTGCAAAACCAAAAACTTTCATTGCTCATACTTTCTCTTCGTTCCACCGTGGACTTTTTTGTTCGCGTTTACTTTTAAGACGATTCTTTGAGGAGTATCTTTATGACCAGACTTCAGCTTTTATAACTTAGTTAATCTCTTTATAGAATCTTATGAAGCGATCTCACGGGGATGTTCAGAAATACTATAATTATTTGCTATTGGTTTACTTGCTCTTTTTTCCTGATCCCTATTTTATTCAGGCTATCATCGACGAGGGCGAGTTTTTCGAAATAATGCCGTCATACGCGAAAAATATGATTGTCGGGTTCGCCCGTCTAGGTGGCCGGACGGTTGGAATAGTCGCAAATCAACCGCGTGTGGCAGCTGGATGCTTGGACATAAATGCCTCTGTCAAGGGTGCTAGATTTGTTCGCTTTTGTGATGCATTTCACATTCCTCTGGTCACTTTTGTAGACGTTCCTGGCTTCTTGCCCGGCACCAGTCAGGAGTACGGTGGCATCATACGACATGGAGCCAAGCTTATCTTTGCATACTCTGAAGCTAACGTACCCAAGTTGACAGTCATTACTCGCAAGGCGTATGGTGGCGCATATTGTGTTATGAGCTCCAAGCACCTCCGTGGTGACATCAATTACGCATGGCCGACGGCTGAGGTATGTGATCAGTTTCATTTCAATCCAAAATAAATTTATTTTAACATCAATTTGTGCATCCACACATAAGAGCAACTTGATTAAGTATTTAAACAAGCGAATAAGGCATTTTAAAACCATTCTTATCCATCAGGTTTACTTTATCATTACCAAAAAATTGAAGTTGTTTAGGCATCATTAGTCTAGTGTGTAACGTGAGCCATTTAAATCAGATCATGACATTTTTTGTGTCGTATGTTTGACCATTGGAAGCTCAACATCATATTGTTTATTCTGTTACCAAACAAATATGCCGGCAGTTTATTCTCTATAATATAACCTGTCTATTGGAATCCTTATATTTATATTATTCTCTTTGCTAAATCTTAATAGTATTCGGTTTCTATTGTTTTATTTCAGTGCTAGCCACTTCTTATCGAGATTAGTGTTCGCTCTTGAGAGTTGACCTTGATCCCATGGGATCTCGGCTTATGATAGCCCTGTGCTATAGGTCTTCACACTTGATGGAATGAGCCCTTCCTCATCAACATCTGCATGTTGACTTGTTGGCCTTGTGCCATAGAGTACATATTCTTTTTTTATTTACTTCCTCTCCTGATTCAATATTTTTCGTCCAGGTCGCTGTTATGGGTGCTAGAGGGGCAGTGAAAATCATCTTCCGTGAAGGCGATGCCAACACTCAATTAAAGCACGAGGAAGAATACATCGATGCATTTGCT